ACAATCTCAGCTCACCACAACCTCTGCCTCCTGAGTTTAAGCGATTCTCCTCCCTCAGCCTCCCGAGTAGCTGCGATTACAGGTGCCCGATACCATGCCCAGCTAATTTTTGTATCTTTACTAGAAACGGGGTTTTGCCATATTGACCAGGCTGGTCTCGAACTCCTGACCTCAGGTGATCCATCCACCTTGGCCTCCCAAAATGCTGGGATTACAGGTGTGAGCTACTGCGCCTGGCCAAGGACATCTATTCTTTACACTTATCCTTGCTAACGCGCGGCCAGCATGTTTCAGATGAGCTGCTGCAGAGGTAGCAATCACTCCCCTCTTAGCAGATCTCAGCATGAGAGGTCCAGGTCTTCTCACTACTTTCCCACACACAAATGCTGGGCAAGGCGAGGGCAGAGCCCTCAGGGGCTCCACCACCAACCTGCACTCCCAAAATGGCCACTTCCCGTCCCGTCCACAGGTCATCAGGAAAGTACGGCAATGTTCGCCCAAAATACAAACTTCTATGTCCATGACGTCGACCAATACCACCGACCAGTCACCCTCCCAAAGTGGCACCAAGACCAGCGTGCCTAGGATTGTTCTCTGTGGAACGAACCCTTTCTTGATTTTTCTTGGCCTGAACTTATAACAAGAGAGGGCGAGTGAGCATGCATTTCTATCAGCCACTATAAACTCTTTTTTTTTTTTTTTTGAGACAGAGTCTTGCTCTGTTGCCCAGGATGGAGGAGTGCAGTGGGGCGATCTTGGCTCACTGTAACCTCCACCTTCCAGGTTCAAGTGATTCTCCTGCCTCAGCCTCCTGAGTAGCTGGGATTACAGGCATGCACCACCACACCCAACTAATTTTTGTACTTCTAGTAGAAATGGGGTTTCGCCACGTGGGCCAGGCTGGTCTCAAACTCCTGACCTCGTGAACCATCCGCCTCGGCCTCCCAGAGTGCTGGGATTACAGGTGTGAGCCACCGTGCCCAGCCTTTTTTTTTTTTTTTTTTTTTTTTTTTGAGACAGAGTCTCGCTCTGTTGCTCAGGCTGGAGTGCAGTGGTGCGATCTCAGTTCACTGCAACCTCCACCTCCCGGGTTCAAGCAATTCTCCTGCCTCAGCCTCCCAAGTAGCTGGGATTACAGGCATGCATCACCACGCCTGGCTTATTTTTTAGTACAGACGGGGTTTCACCAGGTTGGCCAGGCTGGTCTCAAACTCCTGACCTCGTGATCCACCGCCTCGGCCTCCGAAAGTGCTGGGATTAGAGGTATGAGCCCCCACACCCTCTTTCTAGTGTTGCTAGAAAAGCCCAATCCCTTCGCTCCTCACTTCCACACTTGATTGGTCCCTCAAGGTTGTATTCAGGGCATTCCCAGTAGCTTCCCCATCACTATTACGAAAGCTAAATTTCCCTAAAACAGTGCAAATCGGCCAGGCGCGGTGGCTCACGCCTGTAATCCCAACACTCTGGGAGGACGAGGCAGATGGTTCATGAGGTCAGGTGTTCGAGACCAGCCTGGCCAACATGGTAAAACCCCATCTCTACTAAAAATACAAAATTTAGCTGGGCGTGGTGGCGCATGCCTGTAATCCCAGCTACTTGGGAGGCTGAGGCAGGAGAATCGCTTGAACCCAGGAGGCGGAGGTTGCAATGAGCCGAGATTGTGACAGCCTGGGCGAAAGAGCGAGACTCCATCTCAAAAAAAAAAAAAAAGTCCAAACCAGATCATCAGCAGTTAGCTGTCAACCATACTCCTAAAAAAAGCAAACTCAGGCTCTGAACAGTCTACGTGCCTCTCTCTAGTAGTTGAACTGGACAAACCTACCTCTTCAAATTTCTTGGTTTTTGCGACTTCACAAATCTGCCCTATCATCCGGATGCGATTGCTGAGGCCGCATTCCACACTCAGCTCCTGGAGAGAAATGAAAGAAGAAACAGGGGCCAGCGGTCAGGCCACGGTTTCCTAAACTGCAAGTCACAAACCACCTAAAGGCTCCCGCTGCATTTTCCAGACTAGAGATTAAAACAGATCTTTCTGAAATCAAGATTCACCTGACCAGGCGCGCTGCCTCACGCCTGTAATCCCTGAAGTTTGGGAGGCCGAGGCGGGTGTATCACCTGAGGTCAGGAGTTTGAGACCAGCCTGGCCAACATGATGAAATCCTGTCTCTAGTAAAAATACAAAAAATTGGCCAGGCACGGTGGCTCAAGCCTGTAATCCCAGCACTTTGGGAGGCCGAGACAGGTAGATCACGAGGTCAGGAGATCAAGACCATCCTGGCTAACGCAGTGAAACCCCGTCTCTACCAAAAAATACAAAAAACTAGCCGGGCGAGGTGGCAGGCGCCTGTAGTCCCAGCTACTCGGGAGGCTGAGGCAGGAGAACGGCGTAAACCCGGGAGGCGGAGCTTGCAGTGAGCTGAGATCTGGCCACTGCACTCCACCCTGGGCAACAGAGCGAGACTCCGTTTCAAAAAAAAAAAAAAAAAAAAAGCAGTGAGCTGAGATCTGGCCACTGCACTCCACCCTGGGCAACAGAGCGAGACTCCGTTTCAAAAAAAAAAAAAAAAAAAATTAGCCAGGCGTGGTGGTGGGCACCTGTAATCCCAGCTACTCAGGAGGCTGAGGCAGGAGAATCCCTTGAACCTGGGAGGCGGAGGTTGCAGTGAGCTGAGATCGCGCCACTGCACTCCAGCCTGGGTGACAAGAGCGAAAATCGGTCTCAAAAAAAAAAAAAGATTTACCAACGGGATTTACTGCTCCATCCCGAGGAGCTAAGAATGTGTAATTATTTTTTCACAACTGCAAATGTTGTATTGAGATAAAACATAACATGAAATACAATTTTAAACTGTAAAATTTTTTTTTCGGACGGAGTTTCGCTCTTCTTCCCCAGGCTGGAGTGCAGTGGTGCAATCACAGCTCACTGCAATCTCCAACTCCCAGGTTCAAGCAATTCTCCTGTCTCAGCCTCCTGAGTAGCTGGAATTACAGGTGCCTGCCACTACGTCAGGCTAACTTTTGGTATTTTTAGTAGAGACAGGGTTTCACCATGTTGGCCAGGCTGGTCTCAAACTCCTGACCTCAGTTGATCCACCTGCCTCAGCCTCCCAAAGTGCTGGGATGGCAGGCACGAGCCACTGCGCCCGGCCCAGATGGACTATATTTTATTCATTAGTTGATGAAAGTTTTAGTTGTTTCTAAGTAGAAAACTTTAAAGTGCAAAAATTCAGCATTTACTCATGGGCAAAACACAATGCCTAGCATATGTGACAAAGACACAAGCACACATAAAAGATAAAGACCTAGCCCAGGTGCAACGGCTCACGCCTGTAATCCCAACACTTTGGGAGGTCGAGGCGGGCAGATCACCTGAGGTTGGGAGTTCGAGACCAGCCTGGTCAAGATGGTGAAACTCCGTCTCTACTAAAAATACAAAAATTAGATGGGTGTGATGGCATGTGTCTGTAGTCCCAGCTATTCGGGAGGCTGAGGCAGGAGAATCACTTGAAACTGGGAGGCGGAGTACCAGCGAGCAGAGATTGTGCCATTACACTCCAGCCGGGGCAACAGAGCAACAATTCATCTCAAAAAAAAAGAAAAGAAAAAAAAATTCAGCCAGGCCTGGTGGCAGGTGCCTGTAGTCCCAACTACTCAGGAGGCTGCATTAGGAGAATCGCTTGAACCCTGGAGGCGGAGGCTGCAGCGAACAGAGATCATGCCACTGCATTCCAGCCTAGGCAACAGAGTGAGACTCAGTCTCAAAAAAAATAAAATAAAGAACCCACTTCTCCCAGGAACTCACATGTTATCATTTAACACCTGGCCATATCCTTACCGGTGGAGATGATGACTCTCAGACCTCATCTATAAAATGGGGCTTTCTTTCGTCAATATCTGAATAATCACTCGTGTGCCTGAACCAGGTCACCAAGATCCTGACTTTCCAAGTCTCTTGAGGAAGGACATGTCAGCCTCCAAGTACTGGAGACAGCTTTCCTGTGCAAACAGTCGCCAGCAACCTATCTCAGAACCTGGTGCAGGTGCAGCACCACAGAACCTGGTGCAAGACAAAACCCAACCTTCCCTACACTTCCCTCTAGCCCAGCAGACACAGGCAGCTCACTCACTCTCAGGATTTCCGCGGTGATGATAAATTCCGTCTGTTTGCCCTCTGCAGACCTGGGATTTGGCCTCGGTGTTCCCAGTCCAAACAGAATCCTAAACTTCTCCTTCAAGCCTGAATCTTTGCTTGTTGGTTTGGCCATGGTGGGCCAGGACGCACCAGAAAACCCCTCTGTGCAAACGAAACAGGCACGGGGACATCTGAGCAACAGCTCTGCCCACCTTCCCCACTGCGGACCTCCAGCCGTCAGGACCCTGGGCCTCTGGTGGGCATAACCTTTCCTCCCACAATCCCTGGGATAACTCAACTACAGCCCAGCTGACCAGGTCGCAAACAGGCACCTAGGAAAGCCAGGGAGACACCAGGCCAGGTCTAGGGAGCTCTCTGCTCAGACGCTGCCGCCCGCCCCGCCCGACTCAGTGCACAGGTTAGGATGGCCGCCGCGAAGTCCTGGGAGCCCGGATGTTTGCCGTCTCTCCTCTCCCCATGTGGAGCAGCAGCTGTCATGGAGCCGACTGCAGCAGAGACCCGCTCGCACCCGCCATGACTTAAAACTAAGGGATGCTCGGAGCTCCGGAGTCGGGTTGCAGCGGGCGCGGGTGAGGGCCCGGGACCCGGACACTGCGGGGTCCGCCTCTCTAAGCCGCTACCCTGCTGCCCCGTGGGGACTGGGGCACACTGCGGCCCAGGCCACTCACCCCTCGCCGCGCCACCGCGCGCCGGGCCGCCCCGACGCGGAGAAAGGCGCACCCCCCGGCCCCTGGACGCTGCCGGAAGCGCGACCCGCAGCGGTGCCGCGCGGAGGGCCGCCGCGGGGCTTGCTGGGAGTTGTAGTTCTGGGCAGCCCTCTAGCGGAAAGGCCGGAGATCCTTGCGTCACGTGACGGGGCCGCCTGGGCCGCCGGGATATGTAGTCCGCAGGAGTCCGGCATGAACGCCTTGAGCGCCAGGATGCTGACGCGGAACCGGAGCCTGGGACCCGGGGCTGGGCCGCGGGGGTGTGGGGAGGAGCCCGCGCCTCCCCGGAAGGGAGAAGCTGCAGCAGGTAGCGCCGCGCCCTGACCGGAGCATGGGAGGAAGCGGGGTAGGGGCTGCAGGCTGGAGTCCCGGGCCGCCGCCTCCTGCAGCTGCGCGGGCAGGGGCTGCAAGGGCTGCGAACGGTTCCCACGTGCTGCCCTGCGTTCCGACCTTGCGCCCTTTTCCCAAAGGTTGCGGTCCGCAGTGGCTGGGTTTCGGACGCTCTGCTCCGCTGCCCACTTTCGCCCCGAGCAAGAAAACGCTTCCCGGCCGGGCGCGGTGGCTCACGCCTGTAATCCCAGCACTTTGGGAGGCCGAGGCAGGCGGATCACGAGGTCAGGAAATCGAGACCATCCTGGCTAACATGGTGAAACCCCGTCTCCACAGAAAAAAAAAAAAAAAAAAAAAAACTAGAAAAAATTAGGCGGGGCCGGGCGCAGTGGCTCAAGCCTGTAATCCCAGCACTTTGGGAGGCCGAGACGGGCGGATCACGAGGTCAGGAGATCGAGACCATCCTGGCTAACATGGTGAAACGCCGTCTCTACTAAAAATACAAAAAACTAGCCGGGCGAGGTGGCGGGCGCCTGTAGTCCCAGCTACGTGGGAGGCTGAGGCAGGAGAATGGCGTGAACCCGGGAGGCGGAGCTTGCAGTGAGCTGAGATCCGGCCACTGCACTCGAGCCTGGGTGACAAAGCGAGACTCCGACTCAAAAAAAAGAAAAAAGAAAAAAGAAAAAATTAGGCGGATGTGGTGGCAGGCGCCTGTAGTCCCAGCTACACGGGAGACTGAGGCAGGAGGATGGCGTGAACCCGGGAGGCGGAGGTTACAGTGAGCCGAGATTGCGCCACTGCACTCCAGCCTGGGCGACAGAGCCAGACTCCGTCTCAAAATAAAAAAAAAAAAAAAGAAAACTTTTCCCTTCCCACCAGCCTGCCCAGGACTCTCCACTCCAGGCTCTGTGGGTCCCATCCCTGCCCTCCTGCAATGAACTTGCTTCCCTCAGAGAGGCTGGGTGCCAAGAACACACCCAGCCAGAAGCCTGCTCCCTCAGCTCGAGGGTGCCTCTTAGGGAAAACAGGAAAGGGCATGGCAGTCATATTTATCCTGCAGCCGTTGAGGACCTGCTGAGGACCAAGCACTGCAGTGAGCAGTGAGGGACACGACAGGGCCCCTGCGCTAGTCCCACGGGGACTTCCGCAGAATTGGCCAGAGGGGGATTCCGATAGGCACCCAGGGACCCCAGGGATAGTCCAGATGATGGCAGGAGGAACTGGTACAGCTGGGAGCAGTTAGGCGGTGATGCCAGCCAGGGTGGCAGGAGCTTTGATGCCAGGATAGAGTTCAGAGTTTATTATGACAGCAAACGGAAGTCAATTAGGAGGTTTTGTTTGTTTGTTTGGAGACAGAGTCTCACTTTGTCACCCAGGCTGGAGTGCAGTGGCGTGATCTCAGCTCACCACAACCTCCGCCTCCCAGGTTCAAACAGTTCTCCTGCCTCAGCCTCCCAAGTAGCTGAGACTATAGGCCTCCGCCACCGCAGCCGGCTAACTTTTGTATTTTTAGTAGAGATGGGGTTTCGCCATATTTGCCAGGCTGGTCTCGAACTCCTGACCTCAAGTGATCCACCCACCTCGGCCTCCCAAAGTGCTGGGATTACAAGCTTGGTCCACCGCGCCCGGCCGGCCAGGAATTTTTAAAAGGGAGTGACACAACCCGATGTGGGTGTTAACAGATTGTCTCTGGTGCAGTATAGAGGATGTATTGGGGGCCCTGTGGTAGAGGCTGTTGCTAGAGTCCTCATGAGCTAACATGGACCTTGTCAGGGTCGCTGGCATAAGGAGAGCCCACATATCCCAGACTGCAGAGGGCAGAGCACCCCAAGTGTATTAGATAATGGACAGTTGGGGCATGAATGAGGGAGGGGTAAGCTAGCAGGCGGGACGGCACCCCTACCCTCCCTTCACCTGTGGCCCCACCAGAGGGACTGGCTGGTGCTTTTTGCAGAAGCAAGGAAAAGCCACAGCCCCGTGAAGCATCGGCGGAAAGCACAGAGACTGTGTGTGGCCTATGAGGGCTTGGACAGTGAGAAAGGTGAGAAGGCTAAGTCCCTCAAAGTGCCAGTCTGGGAGCCCCAGGACTGGCAGCAACAGCTGGTCAACATCCGTGCCATGAGAAGCAAAAAGGACGCACCTGTGGACCATCTGGGGGTCGAGCACTGCTATGACTCCAGTGCACCCCCAAAGGTAGGCAGGGGCCCCATCTGCCCAGGTGACCCCCGCTGTTAGCAAGATACTTGTTTTCTCTCTACCCGGTGGCTCTTGGCTGGCACCTTCCCCTGCAGACAGCACCTTGGGAGGATGTACACCCGGTGCCCCAGAGCACTGGGCAGTGTTGCCTGCATCACTGTAGCCACTCAGCAGGTCAGGACACCGGTGGCTTAGGGCCTCATGCTAGAACTTCTGCCCAATGCAGGCGTGACCTGGGCTTTGCGTGATATCAGGGAGGAAGAGTTCCTTTTACTTCACGGTCCCAGGGCCTGGAACCTTAGACCAAGCTGAGTTCTAATCCCTGTTCTACTACCAGGTGACTTGGATACAGGCCTCTCTGAGCCTCAGTTTGCTTGTCTGTAAAGTGGGTAGTATGGGCCAAGCATAGTGATTCATGCCTGGAATCCCAGCACTTCGGGAGGCCGAGGCAGGTGGATCACCTGAGGTCAGGAGTTTGAGACCAGCCTGGCCAACATGGCAAAACCCCGTCTCTACTAAAAATACAAAAATTAGCCGGGTATGGTGGCAGGTGCCTATAATCCCAGCTACTTGGGAGGCTGAGGCAGGAGAATCACTTGAACCCAGGAGTTGGAAGTTGCAGTGAGCCAAGATCACACCACTTTACTCCTGCTTGGGTGAAAGAGTAATACTCCATCTCAAAAAAAAAAAAAATTGTTTTTAATGGGTAGTGTGATCATTCACAAAGCAATCAATAGTAGTGGCCAATGGCTGTTCAGTAGTGATGGGCCAGATATGATTGTTTTGGGGGTTTTTTGAGACCAAGTTTTGCTCTTGTTGCCCAGGCTGGAGTGCAGTGGCGAAATCTCAGCTCACCGCAACCTCCGCCTCCTGGGTTGAAGCGATTCTCCTGCCTCAGACTCCCGAGTAGCTGGGATTACAAGTGCCCACCACCACACCCAGCTAATTTTTGTATTTTTAGTAGAGACAGGGTTTCACCATGTTGGTCAGGCTGGTCTCAAATTCCTGACCTCAGGTGATCCACCTGCCTTGGCCTCCCAAAGTGCTGGGATGACGGGCGCAAGCCACCGCGCCCAGCCACATACGATTCTAAGCCCTGAGACAATTCATTTAAGCTTCACATTGCTCCAGTGAGTCAGGTACTATTTTTGTCGTGGGGGTGTAGATGACCAAACACACCCAAACCAGACCTCCCTACCCCATAGGGGGAGGCCGATGCCCCATATGTGGCCCAGGGTAACAAATGAGGGTACGTAGAGGGCATGAGGGGAGCCTGCCCCAGGGAATCACCCAGGACCTGCCATCACCCTGGTCCCTGTCACGGCACAAGCAGGTGCGCAGGTACCAGGTGCTGCTGTCACTGATGCTCTCCAGCCAGACCAAAGACCAGGTGACGGCGGGCGCCATGCAGCGACTGCGGGCGCAGGGCCTGACGGTGGACAGCATCCTGCAGACAGATGATGCCACGCTGGGCAAGCTCATCTACCCCGTCGGTTTCTGGAGGGTGAGCCCTGCCTGTGGTAACCCGGGGCCGGGTGGCCTGAGAGAGACCTTGGAAGGCTGAGGGGGGTGGCGGCGGTGCAGGAGGTGAGGGTCAACCATCTCAGGCTTGGGGGTCCCCCTGGAGCCCCCATCCCAGGCCATGGGGTCCTGGAGCCTGATGCCCAGTCCCAGCAGCTCCTTGGCCTTCCTGTTCGCATCCTCCTTTCCTTCCTCTGCCTCCCTACCTCACCACCTGCCCACCCTTCCTCACCGCCAAGACCGCCTGCCCACCCGCCTTTCCCTTTGTTTACTGCTAGCCTCCCCTGGGGTATCACCCCTCCTGTCCAGAGCCCCTCACCCTCCAGGAGGCCTGCTCCCCAACCCTGCCGAGCACTGGATGGTGGTGGGTGGATCTGTTGAAAGCAGCTTAGTGGGTGGGGCCGCTTCCCCTTGGCACCCGTGTGGGCCACAGTTTCTCAGATGGGTTTTAAATAGCCCTCTCCACTCAGGCACAGGATGGGAACCACCCGGCAGGCCTAGCAGCTGGTGGGGAAGCCCCAGCTCCAGCCCTCCTTCCTGAAGGCGCAGGTGCAGCGAAGCCCCACTCCTGGGAGCGGCTGGCCTGCTTGGACTGGCCGGGGTGCTGGCAGGGAATGACAGGCAGGGGAACCCAAGACAGACCCTACACACGTGTCATTGGCCCACACGGGTGGGAGGAGGGGGTCAGGCCTGCCTTGGGCCTCCCTGCTGCCCTCCACTTGGTCCTGCCTCCTGGAGGGCAGGGGCTGAGCTTGCACATGTCCTCAGCAGGTGCAGTTAGCTCTGGCCACCTGTGGGTCTCCTGGGGGCTGTGTCCTCCCCAGTCGGGCTATGCCCCTGCCTCCAAGGCTGAACCCACCCCTGTCTTTCAGAGCAAGGTGAAATACATCAAGCAGACCAGCACCATCCTGCAGCAGCGCTATGGCGGGGACATCCCAGCCTCCGTGGCTGAGCTGGTGGCACTGCCGGGCGTTGGGCCCAAGATGGCACACCTGGCTATGGCTGTGGCCTGGGGCACTGTGTCAGGCATTGGTGAGTGGTGCGCACCCCCAGGAGGACAGGGCTGGCTCTGGCCCACTGGCTGCTCTGGGATTCCCCACATCCTTTTGACCTGTGACTCCACTTCCAGCATCCTGATCCTCCACCCAGCCCATAGGGTCAGAAAGGTGCTCCCAGGGCTGAGCCAGGCCAGCCTCACTCAGAGACAGGCGCTGGGGCAGGAGCTCGCATGAGCTGGGCGCCTGCTCTGTGCAGAGCTCTGAGAGAGGCCCCGGAGCTAGACTCCATCTGTGCTGAATTTGGGAGAGATGTGGAGCAGGGAATTCCCCATTCGTGGGGTGGAAACACCCTGCTGGGCCTGGCCTGGGCCCAGGGCCCCTGGGAAGGCCCCTAAGGTCATCCTTCAGTTGAGAGCTGCAGGGCAAGGTGGGGTGAGCCAGGCCAAGAGGAGGAAGTGTGTTCCCAGCAGAAGGAACAGCATCTGCAAAACCATGATTCAAGAGACAGGGCCAAGAGCAGTAAGTTCTGGAATGAGATGAGGGCAGAGCGGGGAGATGAGGGCTGAGGAGGGAGGGGGAAGAGTGTCCCCTCAGCAGGTGGGGTGGGGAGGGAGGTGCTGGGGGGGATGGGGGGAGGGTGGGGAGGGAGGCGCTGCAGGGAGAAGTGAGGATAGTTGAGAGAGAGAAAGGAGAGGGTGGGGAGGGAGGCACTGTGGGGAGGGCCCTCCTTAAATCCTTTTCCCATGTCCTGGTGTCTCTTCCTGGCACCAGAGGCTTCTTGGCAGTTGGGTAAAGATAGACCCTTGGGTTTGGGGTGGGGTTGCCTCATCCTCGGCTTTGCCCAGAGGATTTGGGGCTCCTAAGGCCACACGCAGCTGGGCCCAGCCAGTCCAGAAACCAGGGCTTGGCCCTGCCCTCTGTGTGCCCCCATCCCAGGCCCCTGTGGGACTCTTGCAGGGGCCTGTGCTGGGGGGGCCTTCCAGCACTTTCTGGTGGGCAAGAGGGCCATGAGGAGCTGAGGGCCTCGGTTCTGAGCAGGGGGCCACCCGGTGAGGCTGAAGGGCTGCAGCAGCCCCAGAGAGCCAGAGCCAGGCCAGGTGCGCCGGGGCAGGGCCTCCTCCCCACGGAAGCTCCCAGCACCACCACCTGCCAGCCTCTCAACGGACACTTGAGCTTATCTGGGCAGCTGTCCTCAGCTGCCCGTGTCCCTGGGGTGCTGCATCATGGTTGGACAGGGCTGTGGGGGAAGGTCCCTGCCCGCAGCCAGGCAGGGAATGGGCTTTGGGAGTAGCAGGCACAAGAGACAGGCATGCAGGAATACCTCCCTCTCTAGGTGTCTGTGGGCCTGACCACCTGCAAGGACACCCCAGGGCTGCCTCCTGGGGGTTCCCAGAAAGAGAAACACTTCTCAGTTAAAATGTCAGAGCTGGCTGGGTACGAGGGCTGAAGCCTGTAATCCCAGCGCTTTGGGAGGCTGAGGCAGGCAGATCACGAGGTCAGGAGATCGAGACCACGGCGAAACCCCATCTTTACTAAAAATACAATAAATTAGCCAGGCTTGGTGGTGGGCACCTGTAGTCCCAGCTGCTTGGGAGGCTGAAGCAGGAGAATGGCGTGAACCCGGGAGGCAGAGCTTGCAGTAAACCAAGATGACGCCACTGCACTCCAGCCTGGGCGACAGAGCGAGACTCCATCAAAAAAAAAAAAAAAAAAAAAAAAAAAAGATTAGCCGGGCGTGGTGGCAGGAGCCTGTAATTCCAGCTCCTCGGGAGGCTAATACAGGAGAATTGGTTAAAACCCAGAGACGAAAGTTGCGGTGAGCCAAGATCGCACCACTGTCTGTATCCAGTCTGGGCAACAGAGCAAGACTCCGTCTGAAAAGAAAAAAAAAAGTCACAGTCATAGATTGCTGGCTGCAGTCCCAGCTCTGCGCCTCCCGACTGAGTGACTCTGGGCCAGGCACCTGGCTTCTCTAAGCTCTGGCCACAAAGTGGGTGAAGCAGTCCTCCTCATTCACTGTCCAGGTGGGCAGGAGGCCCATACCTTGTGACGTGTCCTGACTCAGCCTTGGGTATCCTAAGAAGCATGGCCACTTCCGTGTTACAGAGGAGGAAACTGAGGCTCAGAGCCCCAAGGATGTGGCCTCTCAGGCCTTGTGGTCTCCCTACACCCTCAGACACCTTTTTGCAGGCGGCAGCGAAGGAGCTGGTGCAGGATTTGGCTTTCTCTTTGGCAAACACTGAAGGAGGAGGCAGGGCTGGGGCTGGGGCCGCAGCTGGCAGGGGCCACCGGGTGGGAGAAGGGAGCCCGATGAGCAGGCACCTGGGGTGACCAGCTGAGGGGAGCAGGAGCCAGATCCCCGGTGGACAGCAGCTGTGGCCAGCCGGGCCATGCTCCCGCTCTGTTCCTGACCGCTGCAGTGGCAGGTGCTGTGACCTCATGCCGGCCTGCTGGGCAGAGCTGTTGCCACTCAGCCTGGTGCCCAGAGCCAGTACTTATGCCAGGAGGGGCCTCAGGCCACAGGAGACAGATAGGGAAGCCTGGATGAGCCCTCCTGGGCCAGGGCCTCGTTCCTTGGGAGGCTGAGGGCTGAGAGGTGCTTCGGAGTCGGGATCCTGCCAGGCCTCACAGGGTCCTCGGGTGTCTGTAGGACCTTGTGAGGATTTACTGAACTGGCCAGTCTCTCCGGTAGGGTCTGGCCCCTAGCAAATGCTTGTCCAAGTGAGCTGTCGCTGTTATTGTGGGAAATAGAGCTCGAAGCAGAGCTGAGTCATCCACCCCCAAGCCCTGCCCGGAGCAGAGACCCCACCACCCACACACCCATCTGGCACCAGGGTTGGTGGGAATGGGTCAGCCCAGAACACAGCCCTCCCTCCCTGCCCAGGCTGGCTCAGGTGATGGGAGGGAGGCCTGCACCCCACCAGAGGGCTCAGCCCCTGCCCCAGCACCTCAGGGGCAGCCAAGATGGTCAGATGTAGGCTTGCAGCCAGGGCTTTGCGGTTCCAGTCTCTAACTGGAGGACCACGGGGGCGGTGGCAGACTTGCCTCTGGGCAGGGAGTGCACGGGCTGGGCGGGTGGAGTGTGCCCATTCACCCCACTTGCCTCTCCGCAGCAGTGGACACGCACGTGCACAGAATCGCCAACCGGCTGAGGTGGACCAAGACAGCAACCAAGTCCCCAGAGGAGACCCGTGCCGCCCTGGAGGAGTGGCTGCCCAGGTATGAGTGTGTGGGGGGCTTCCTGGCGGAGAAAAGCTCACCCTGCCCTCCGTCCGCACTGACCCAGACCCCACCCCCACAGGGAGCTGTGGCACGAGATCAATGGACTCCTGGTGGGCTTCGGCCAGCAGACCTGTCTGCCTGTGCGCCCTCGCTGCCAGGCCTGCCTCAACCAAGCCCTGTGCCCGGCCGCCCAGGGTCTCTGATGGCTGAGCAGCTCCCGCCTCGGTGCTGCTGTGGCCATGGTCTGTGAAGTGGCTTTACGCTTCAGGAAGCCACGCCTGTCGAATAAAGCTTTGGGCTGTTTGCAGATGGGATCTGGCTGATGTCTGTCTCTGAGGGGGCAGGGCGCATGGGAATCACATACAAGTGTGTGTGCGTGCACACCATGCTCGCGTGTGTGGAGCAGGGCTGCCTGGGAGGCCGGCTGGGGACGTGACAGTCTTTGCTCAGTACTCAGGGAGGAGGAGGGGGTGTGCGTGAACCTGGGAGGGAGGAAGTGAAGAGCCAGCTGCAGCCGGCTGCTGGAAGTCCACTGGGGAAGCAGCCCTAGGCAGCTGGCTGAGGACCCTGGCCCCTCATGCTAGCCATCGCCGGCCCCCAGCTTCGCAGCCTGGACACCACCAGCTCCTGAACTTCAGTGACCTCAAAGCCCAGCCTCTGCCCAGTCCCACCCCCCGTTACAGCGCTACCTGGCCTTGAAAGGGACATTGGGGACCCAGGCAGGGTGCCATAGCCTACAAGGCTTGACCTGTGACTGCTAGAGGTCGCAGGGTGAATTGGGCAAAGGGTGGCCCGTGTGGGTGTTGTGTGGAGCCAGATGGCTTCACAGGGAAGATGAAGGTGGGAGGCTGAGTCTGCCGAATAGAGAGATGGTCCTGGGCCCAGAATGTGCCACACAGCAGGGGGTGCCATGGGGTCTGGTGGGGGAGAGGGAGCGGGGATGGGAGCAGATGGACGCAGGGCAGGGGCTCAGGAATGAGACCCAGTTTCCAGCTGCTGAGACTCGGGCAGGGGGCTCCCTGGAACAGCCTCATCCCTCCACTCCCCTCACCCCGCGGGGAGGAGGCTCAGAAGAGACAGAGGCGTGTGGGCCCCAGGCAGGGCCTGTTTATTCTGAGCGCGCGCATGCACTATGGCTTAACGAGGCAACAGCGGTGCCGGTTGATCAGGGGTCGGCTCAGGGGTGCGGGGCCCGGGAGGGAAGAGCAAAGTCAACAGGGTGTCCACGGGGGAGCCCGCCAGGCAGGGCTGAGCCAGAGGCCAGGAGTCCTTCCTGGGTGCCGCTTTCACACACCTGTGTTCCCCAGGCCTGGGAGCTGCCATGCGGAAGGAGGGGCCTGTCCAGAGGCCACCCTCCTCGGGGACATGGGGCCTCCATCCTCAGGCCCCTCAGAGAACCCAGGCCCTGCACTTCAGACGCCCAGCAGGGCACAGGCGCACAGGGTAGCTGGGTGGGGAGCAGGGCCTGGCCTAGGGACCCCCCACACCAGGGCGGGTGGGGAGGGGCAGCTCCTACGGCCACATCAGGCCTCCCTGGCTTTACCTGAGGTCCCCACAAATAGGCTGGGGGCCCCAGCTCAGCCACTGGGAAGTCCCAGGGACTCCCACTCAGGACAGCTGCTGCTGAGGGGAGGGGGCAGGGAGGAAATGGTTTGCAGAGAAAGGTTTGTTTTATTGCAATTATTTAGAGCGCGTCCCAAGGGAGAGGGGAAGTCAGGGGGGTGGGGGGCTCTGGTATTAAGTGGAAACATGTGTGGAGCTGGAGATCTTTTTGGAAAAAAGCAAAAACACAAATTCCTTTCAGTCAGCAGGCCCCGGCAGAGCAGCAAAGGCCCTCACCCCGTGCTGCCCCCGCTCTGTCTCTCTCTCTCGCTCGCGCTCTCTCTCTCTCTCTGTGTCTCTGTCTCTGCCTCTCTCTCACATCTCGGGGTCTCTCTCCCCCCATCTTGCTGCCACAGGCCCCCAGTACCTGGCAGGCAGGGGCAGGATGGGGGCTCACGGGGGCTGGGGCTGATTTCTGGGCAGTGGCAGGACCACCCTCCAATCCACTGAGGCTTGGGGAGCTCGGGGCAGGCTGAGGCCCAAGGTCCGTGCAGGAGGGGTCCCAGGGCCCCGAGACAGGCAGGAAGGGGCTCAGAAGTTGCTGAAGATTTCGCGCTTCCTGTTCCAGTCCATCTGCGGCGCGCGCTTGTTGACTCGCGTGGCTCGAGCCTTCTCCTTGGCCTCGGCCGCCGTGGGGCTCAGGTGGAGGCCGCTCTCCTGGAAGGGGTCTCGCTTCCAGGCACTGCCATCCTGGGGTGAGCACGGTGCGTGGGGTGTCTGGAGTGAGCCCTAGTCCCACACCCCAGACGGGGGCCCCTCCCAGGGAACAACCAACAGAGGTTGCCTGCTGGGGTTGGGGCTGGGGTAGGGGCTCATGAGGGCTTCCTGAGCAGAGACCCCACTGCCAGGGCTGACATCTCCACAGACGCCCACCCCAAGGCCTCTGGCAGCCCCATGTGTGAGCTCAGGAGTGGAGGAGGACATCCATACCTCAGTGTCCTTGTCAGAACCAGGAAGGTCACTTCGGGACGAGCACGCAGAGCCACCATTGAGCTGGGAAACCAAGGGCAGGTTGTGGCTTCACAGACAGACACAACACCCGCACAAGCACACATGTGCACAGATGCACACGCCCCACCAGTGTGTGCTCCTCCACTCGGCAGGGGGCCCCGGGCATCTGGTGGACTCCAGATGCGGTGAGGCAGGCACTGGGCGCCCGGCAGTGACAGGCAGGTGGCCTGGCCGGCTCATGGTGCAGAGGGGGTTTGGGTGCAGGAATGGCTGGCGTGAGCAATGCCTGGGGTGAGGCTACCACCAGCTCCCTGAGGAGGCAGAGACTGGAGGGCAACTCCCTACCAGGTGGTGCTCAGGAGGGGACGGAAGGCAGCAGCCCCCACCCCAGGCGCCCCATGTGGCTTGTGTGTGGCACTGACCCAGGACGAAAACCACAGGCGCATTAAAGGGAGGTGACGGCCAGAATCGGGTGTCACTACCACACCTCGAGAAAAGGGATCTCCAGGGAGAAGGGGGCCTCTGTCGGGCCTGGGTACCCCCAGAAGCACCTTGTGTCTCGTGGGCACCCCACCTTCTCACCTGGACAGGGCTGGTTCCGTTGGTCACGGGTGATGGCAGAGGACCTGTGGGGACAGCGTGTCAGTGGCTGCTCGGCCACCACACCGCACCCACCCTGTGCCCCGGGCCGTGGCCCACCTTCCACGTGCTCCTCGGTGGGTGTGACCCGAAGCCGCTTGAAGTGCTCATCTGTCTCGGGGTCCACCACCAGCAGCCGGGCCTCATCCTCCCGTGCCTTGATGCTGGCCACCACCTCAGCGTGGCGCAGCCCCTCCACATTCTGCCCGTTCACCTGCCGCCACCAGCACGCATCAGCCCCGCCGTGGGCCCAGACAGCCCCCAATGCCGCGTGGCCAGGTGTGGCATCAAATATTCATCACAGCCACCGCCCGCCGAGGCAGCAGGAGGCGCACCAGCTCAGGTTCCCAGTGTCTCCCTCCTCCCTGCAAGGACCCAGGGCCCCAGTGTGGACAGGCATGAGGCCCCCAGCACCCTGCAGCCCTGGTACCTCAATAAGCCGGTCCTGGGCGCGGAGGCCAGAGCGGGCGGCAGGTGAGCCCAGGTCCACCGAGCGGATGTACTGGCCGGGCCGGGACTTGTCACTATGCAGGTTGAACCCGTAGCCCTGAGGTCCCTTTCGCAGGTGGCAGAGCCGAGGGCGCAGCTCCCTCAGGGGCCCACTGACATCCTGCAGGTCCGAGGGACAGGGTCAGTCCCTGGCTCCAGCCTCCCACCCCCAGAGGCCACTCCCTGGTGATGCCGCCGCTGCCCAGACTCGGTACCATGCCACCCACGGGCAGGCCCAGGTCTCAGTGGCAAACACTCCGGGAACCCAGGCTGCCTGTGACAGAGATTTAGTTGTGGGAACTTGGGCAAAGCCAGTTTTCAAACCCAGAAGCCTCCCAGATGGGCCCAGCCGCCTTCCTGGGTTGCTGGGATAATTCCCTGGGCTGGAGGCCAGCGCGGTACACAGGCGGGATGGGAGAGAGCACCAGGTGGGAAGAACTGTCACTGTCGACCTCCTGGGGCAGTTGTCCCTGAGGGCCCTGCCCGTGCGTCCCCCTGCCCCGGGTTCTCCTCCAGAGAGTGGGGCAGGCGCTCCTAGGCCAGCAGTTTTGTTTTCTCTCCAGAGGCCTCCGTGAGGCTGGCTGCGGTGGCGGCTCTGTTTGCTTTCACATTCCGGGAAAACGAGCCGCACCACCCCCGCGGGCCCAGCAAGCAGAGGCTGGGGCAGGAGCTTAGAGTGGACAGGGCACAGAGGGCCTCCTGGGGCCCAGAAGGACCCCCCCGCTACCATCCCAGGCCCTGCCCCATGTTACCTCTGGCATTCTGCAGTGGGGGTCTGGCCCAGGGGACCATGCAGGCAGGGCCAGGCCCAGTGACCACCCCCCAGCCAGGGGCCTGGCCAGGGTGCCGCGGCGGTGGCCAGTGGCTGCCCGTGCTCAGTTAAACATGGCGGTGGCCAGAGCAGGCGGGGTCAGCTCAGGTTTCCAGGGAGTGCCAGGCTTGAGGGCGTGTGCCGGGGAGAGCATGCAAGCGGGGTGAGGGGCTGCCAGGGCCCCTCCCTCACCTCCTACCTCCCTGTGTGTCCCTCAGGGACCACAGGCCAGGCCAGGGTTGGGGCAGCATGGCAAGAGGGGTACTCAGACCTCAGGAGGGCAGGTCTCCAGGCCTTAGACACCCCCGACCCCTCCAGCCACCCACCTTCAAGCTCACTCCAAACCCCAATGGACCGGAAACAGCCATGTCAGTGGCGGGGGCCGCCCTGCCAAGGGAGAAAGGGGGTCCTTCTCCACAGGGCTAGTGCCCTGTCCCCTGGGCTCGGGACCTGCCCTTGGTCTGGAACACCCTTCTCCTGTCCAGCCTGCCAGATGCCTCGTCAGGAGCCTCCTGCCCACCCTCTGAACCCTCTCTGCATGGCCACAACCCAGGCCCTATCACACCAGAAACTCCAGGGACAAGGCTGTGGCTCCTTGGCCCCGCAGGGGCTCAGCTGGGCCACGTGGGCTGAATTGGAGGGTGCAAGACCCCCAAAATCTCCAGGGCCCACCACACAGACCCACCCCTCCCCCAGACACACCTGGTGGCACAGGCACGGGGCTCTGAGGCTGACCCTGACACCTGCCCACCGAGGTGCCCCTCAGGGATGCAGTCAGAGCACAGTGCTGAGGCTGGCCTGGGACTGAGGGAAGG